CAACAGAATGGTAGTCATGTAGAGCATATTATATAAATAAAAATGGATTTTCATATAAAAAGGTTTATTTTTCCTATGTATGGAAATTTATGGGACACCCTGTATGTATATATATATATATATATATATATATATATATATATATATATATATATATATATATATATATATATATATATATATATATATATATATATATATATCAAAACATGACCTGCTTTTAGTGTCCTTGTGGCCTAGCCGGTAAGCGTTCCCTAGTCACACCCAGTAGGTCGAGGGTTCGATTCCTTGCTGGTGAGGTCGTTGATTATATGTTCAAAGTCCGCGTGTTATATGGACTAAAAATGAAGTATATATATGTACCTCGCGTTTCATACCAGCTGGATTCGGTAAAATGCTACTGACACCACATAAGAGGCACGGGCAGTTTCCCATTGAGGTTCACGGCGCCATCAGCTCGTTGAACAGGCTTTGTGTGAAATATAACAGAGTCTAGAACTGCTTTTAGCGTCCTTGTGGCCTAGCCGGTAAGCGTTCCCTAGTCACACCCAGTAGGTCGAGGGTTCGATGCCTTGCTGGTGAGGTCGTTGATTATATATATATATATATATATATATATATATATATATATATATATATATATATATATATATATATATATATATATATATATATATATATATATATATATATATATTTTTATATATATATATATATATATATATATATATATATATATATATATATATATATATATATATATATATATATAAACATACATATAGTGTTTGTTTAATGGGAAACGAACATAAATTTATGGATACTAGTTATTTGCATGATGCTGAACACAAAAATTTTAACGAGACTGCACAGAACCTGACTTAAACAAGAAACCTACCTAACCTTACCTAACTTCCTAGCATGGGGGTTCTGCCCCTGGACCCCCTGCCATATTTGGCTGAAAGTTTGGAAAGGTTAGGTAGGTTTCTTTTGTTAGAATAGTTAAGTCAGCCTTTGTTAGGTTCTGTGCATTGTTGTTTCAATTTTCGTGTTCAGATCATGCAAATAATATCTCCCAAAATTTGTCCAATTCCATATGTTATTTCTGGTGCTAACCATCTCCTCTGCCTTTACAATAGAAGAAAAGTTTCTTAAAATTGTCTAATGATTCCAAAATTTAAAATCCTAAAATTCACTGGATGACCAAAACAATAATAATACCCAAAGAACTTATTTTGTTATCTGGTACTAATGAATGCAACTTTGTTGAAGCATCGTGGTGTAATTTTAAGTTTGTTGTAACGTGAGAATAAGCTCAGACTGAACGGGTCGGCTGTAAACAAAAAGTGGATCACCTGAAGAATCATCACCCCAGAATGTCCACCTGAAGAATCGTCACCCCAGCCCACAGTGAATATAATTTGTATAATTAGGATAACAAATATATTCCTTTGTGTTATGCATCTTTATTGTGAAAAGTTTAAAGAAAAAAAAATAAGAATAATATACATACACCTAACCTAACCTAACCATGGAGGGTCCTGACCCCACCTGAAGAATTGTCACCCCAGGTGTTGCCACCTGAAGATTCATCACCCCAGGATATCCCACCTGAAGAATTGTCACCCTGCCAAACTCCGGGGTGACAATTCTTAAGGTGATCCCAAAAAGTCAACACACAGTGACTAGAGATTTTTCATAGTACAGTAAAAGTCCAAAAATCCGGATACCAGAAACCCGGACCACCCAAGAATACGGACTTTTCGAAAACTCAAACTCTATTTTTTTTAGCTGGCTTTTGTATGTATGTGTGCATGCGTGAGTGCCACAGCTGCACAGTGACAACAAGCAACCACGCGGTCACCACTTTAAAACGAGCAATCAAACTGTGACAACGTAAGTAATTTTGAGTCCTACTCTTTCCATTTACAGAGTACTGTACAAGCCCATAATAATGGCTCCTAAAGTAGATAAACTTCGTTGTGTGAAGAGAAAGAACATGTTGAAATTGAGTGACAAACTTGAAATAATTAAGAAACTAGAACGTGGTGTGAGCAATACTGATCTAATGGAAACATACGACATTGGGAAGTCTACAATTTATGATATAAAAAAGGCAAAGAATAAAATTTTAGAATTCACAGCCTTATCTTTAAAACTGCTTGTTTTGATAAATGAAGCATGCTATATTTGCTAATGAATAAACTATCAAAATGTACCTGTTCATCTCTTCTTTATTTCTCCTGAAATTTGAATTTTAAAAGTACTGCCTCAGAATCCGGAAAATCCGAAAATCCGGACCGACCCAATCCCCAAGCAGTCCGGATTTTTGGACTTCTACTGTAGTATTTATGGTAAATAACCAAACAATTGGGTAAATTTCTAGTTTCTGTTACAACTACTGTTCAACCACGAATTTTGGTTTTTTCCCAAGGTATTTGGCGAGATTCATTCAAAATTGACCTTCGTTTCCGTCAGAAATGAATCGTTTTGGAATTACCATCCCCCATACAACCTGACCTAACCAACCAAAGAAACCTACCTAACCTTACCCAACTTCCTAGCTGTCCCCACTATATTAAACAGAAGTACTTATTTCAATATTTGGTACCAATGAACGCAGCTTTGTTAAGCATCATGGTGTAATTTTACGTTTTATGTGGACATGAGAATAAGCTCACTCTGAATGGGTTGGCTGTAAACGACACACGGAAACTGCAGATTTACTTTAATGCCTCACATGAATTTACTTTCTCGGTTAACATCCATTTGCAACAGAAGTGGTATGAGCAAAAGTCGTTCCTAGTGACAAGATATAACTAATGGTAAACACAAAATTGCTCTACCAGTTGACTGAAACTGTAATACCAAAATGTTAAATATCTCGCTTAAATGTAATTTGCATTAAAAATGCCACAAGGAAATGTGATAAGAGATGAGTCAGATCTACCTATAGCAACTATTCATTTGCAAACTTTTGAGAGTGCACTTGTAAAATAATATACCCCAACCTTTATCACTCAACCTGTACTTGAAGCTTCCCAATGAGTTCTAGTTTATGATGGTGTCTGGTAATTCGTTTCACTTATCTACAAATCCATTTCCAAACCAATATCTACCTTATTAATTTCTAAATTTAAATTTATCTAAATTAAAACCAATGCTACAAGTTTCCTCCTGACATGTTATATCTTTTTTTACAGTGGATATTTTGCCCTGACCGGCTAAGTTCCTACTAAATCTATTTTACCGTGAGTGCGCTCTGATTGACTTTGGCCAAGTACTCGCTGTATAATATGATGGGGGGTCCAACCCCCCCCCCACCCCCCGACTAGGAAGTTAGGTAGGTTTCTTTGGTTGGTTAGGTCAGGCTTTATTAGGTTCGAGTAAATTTCTCCTCTTTTATAATGTTTCCATGCACAACAGAAACACCGCCAGTCACGATCCCATATAGTTCTCGAGTTGCTCGCCGGTAACAGACGATTAGCCAATCAGAGCGCACTCAAGGTAAAATAGTGACCAAATAGGTACTACAGATAGGGAAGACGAATACAAACGTTAAGTATAAACTAGGTAACACGGAAATAGAAAACTCAGTTTGTGAAAAAGATCTAGGTGTATTTGTTAGCAACGACTTGAAACCTAGAAAACAATGTATTAGCGTTCGCAACAAGGCAAACAGGATTCTTGGGTTCATATCTAGGTCTGTGAGTAACAGAACTGCTGACGTTATCTTGAAACTTTACCTAGCATTAGTGAGGCCACACATGGATTATGCGGTTCAGTTCTGGTGTCCTTATTATAGAATGGACATAGATTCTTTGGAGAGAGTACAAAGAAGAATGACAAAAATGATCCATAATATTAGAAACCTTCCATATGAAGAAAGACTGAAAAGCTTAGGCTTACATTCATTAGAGAGGCGTAGAGTTAGGGGAGATATGATAGAGGTGTACAAGTGGGTAAGTGGGATTAACAAGGGTAAAATGGAAGATGTTCTGAAGCTCAGTAATAACGAAATAACTAGAACAAATGGCTTTAAATTAGATTAATTCCGATTCAGAAAGGATATAGGCAAGCACTGGTTTGGTAATAGAGTTGTGGATATGTGGAATAGGCTACCGAGTGCTATAGTAGGATCGGGGACGCTAGGGAGCTTCAAGACGAAGTTGGATAGGCACATGGAAGTGCTGGGATGGGTGTGAAAGGGATCTGCCCTGTATGGGCCAGTCGGCCTCCTGCAGTATCCCACTTTCTTATGTTCTTATGTTCTTAACTGGTCATGGCAAAATATCCACTGCCTTTTTTTTAACCCTCTCATTCTTACACCAATACCTATCTTGCCAGAAAAATATTTATTCATTAAAATTATCATACAAGCTCATTGGTTCAGAATGACCAAAAACAGTGTAGATATATATATGCACTGGTACGATTTAAGTCAATATACCAAGGACAACCCATGAAAGGCGCTATAAACTGATTTACACCAGAGGTACTTGAGAACCAGTCACCCTCCTGATACTTTAACCAGGTCAATGAACAAACTTTCAGGTAGATTCTATGTCTGTGAGAGAGGTAGAGGAGAGAGAAGGAGGGAGGTTGAAGAAATTTGAGGCGAGCGTGTGTGAGGGCGGCACAGGAAGCACACCACGCGGGGCCGCCATTATACCACACCGGCTTCGTGTTTACAGGCCAGTGACGTCACTCCTTCCTTACAATATAACTCACTCCTCACCACCACTCTACCTTTACAACGTCACAAGTAGTACTGGACCATATCTCCTAAGTTATACCATCTATTTACACCAGATACTCAAACCCTCAAGATATAACTCGGGAAAATCGATGAAATTCCGCCACAGCGTCCAACTTCGTCTCGGTGAAGTTGGACCATAACACACTTAACAAACATCCTACCTCCTCACTGCCTCTCTCTGAATTATTTACTGCACATACCCTCACAAAATTGTTGGAGACGACAAATTTATAATAAATACCTGTCTGGCACGCTGAACTGCGTCGGCAAAAGCGGAACTTTGGGCAAAATTACTTGTATTAGGTCCTGCTGCTGCTGCCATCATGGCCGACGGCGCTTGCCTGTAACTACTGTGAGTAAATCCCGAGTGTTTTGAAGAGCGAACACTTCTCATAATCTTTTATTATTTTCTCTCAATAATTCTGAATAAAAAGTTCTCATTTTGTATAGTAACTTGTTGAATAGCTAGTTTCCTAACTATATTTTTCTTTAAGTATGTCTACAAAGAAATAAACTCACATATTACTTGATAATAAGATGTTCCAATACAATTTCTATTTGAAAGAGAAAACGAAAAAAAACATAACGTTAACTATAAAAGAATATTGTAATATATATCTTGTTAGATTGGATGAGATTACATTGCATACAAAATTTATTAATATTAGTATAGCAAATAGATATTACAGACATACAAACGATGCAGGTATACACTGGTAAGCAATAAATAGACTACACTAGGAATAGCTTATTATGTATCTGCATTGTCTGACTATATACATGAAAACTGATTGTAAGCGTGTATGAATATTTACTTAATTATTATTATTATTATTATTAGAAGTAGTAGCAGTAGTATTGTTATAGCTCAATAAGGCCGATATAAAGTTATTTCCATTGGTAGTAGGTAGTAGGCCGCTATCAAACAGGGAGGTACTACCGCCTGGGAAGATATTGGAAGCATAATGTATTGTCTAATGGTAGACCCTGCTGAAATATGGCATCACAAAAATTGTGACCAAGTCCCAGGTTGCTGATTTGACCTTCTGCCTCATTTACACACAATTGCAGGGTCTCAAAAATATTGTTTTTCTTACTTTGGCACTGGAGTCAGGAGTTAAGAGGGAAAGAAGATTATTAGGGATTGAAGAAAATTGGTGAAGCTGAAATACAGTAGGAGTAGAAAGAATCTGAGCTCAACCAGATCGCTTTATCTTATTTATTGATTTTTTATATCTTTGTTTTGCTCCCTCGGGTCGTCAGACCTTTGTATTAGTATTGGTTTACTTATGTCGTGCTGCTGATTATACTTCTTACTTCTTTTTTTTCTTTTTTTTTTTTTTTTTTTTTTTTTGCTAATGTGTTAGTTATATGTAAGTTGTGTTAGTCTTAAGGTACACTGTATGGAGAGGCCTGCCAGGTTCTCAGTGGAGCTGGTAGGTCACTCTCATCTTTTATTCTCTCTATTAATGTTTTATGCGTATATTGGGGCAGGAGATGGTTCAATTACTTTCTCTCTGATTGATATAAATCAGCCATATTCTTGGATTTCTTCATTATCAATATTATTTATCCAGTTTTGGTAAGTTTCTGTGTTAAGTTCAGTCACTTTGTTCCAAATATTTACAGCTTTGTTGTGTATATCTACATTGATTGCTAGGAGGTTTGCTCTCTTGTGTAGCTGTTCAGTATTGATGTGGTCTGTATATTTTATGTTATAAATAAATCAGAGGGCTATATTTTGTACTGTTTGTAACCTTTTAATGCTTGTTTTACTAAGGATGTTCAATGGGATGGGTTGGTAGTCCATAATTGCTTTGACAAGAGTTATATAAATCTTTCATTTGTTATTTATGCGAAAGTTCTTAATTCGTTTCATTTTTTATAGTCTTATTCTTTCCTGTCATTCTTTATCTTTTATGCAAGTTATATATCCTCTTTGACAACACAACATACACACTGTATATCGTTACTACTATTGATTTTATTTTTATTTTGTATTTATTTATGGTCCTTTATTATTATTATTATTATTATTATTATTATTATTATTATTATTATTATTATTATTATTATTATTATTATTATTATTATTATTATTATTATTATTATAATTATTATTATTATTATTACTACTATTGTAGGAATTCGTGGTATAATGTTGTCTAGCACTCAGGATGGATGGAAACTCTAAGGTGGTTTTCTTGTATAATATAAGTTATATGATAGACAGTCTGGTGCTGGAGGTGCCGTGTGGTGAGGAGCTGCTCAGTAGAGACGTTCGGTGAGTAGCGTGTTGAAGGAGGTAGATGTGCAGGAGCTTCGTTAGAGAAGATGTTGCCTGTTGCTGGCCTCCTGGTTGAATGAATGCTGACAGCGTGGAGCTTGCTGGAGGAGGTGTTGCTTGTTCAAGAAGAGAGACCAGAATGAATCTCGATACGATACGAAGTCTTTAGTTAAGAAGTGAAAGAAGATTATTAGGGGTTGAAGGAAAAGTGGTGAAACTGAAATACAGTAGGAGTAGAAAGAATCTGGGCTCAACCAGATCGCTTCATCTTTCTTATTGGTGTTTTATCTTTGTTCTGCTCCCTTGGGTCGTCAGACCTTTGTATTAATATTGGTTTATTTATATAATGCTGCTTATTATTATTATTTTTATTATTGTTGGAGTTAGTGAGCCCGCCCAGGTCCTTGTGTAACTGGGACGGTAGTCACATTTTTTTTTTTTGAGGTGTTAGTTAAGTGTTAGTTGTGTTAGTCTAAAGGTACACTGTATGGAGAGGCCTGCCAGGTTCTTAGTGGAGCTGGTAGGTCACTCTCATCTTTATTCCTCTATTAATGTTTTATGTGTAAATGTGTATATTGGGGCAGGAGGTGGTTCAATTACTTCTTCCTGGCTGATGTAGCTGGGAGGGTAAGCACATTATTATTATTATTATTAATTTTTTTTTTTTCGATGGAGTTAGTGAGCCCGCCCAGGTCCTTGTGTAGCTGGGAGGGTAGTCACTTTTCTTTTTCTTTTTTTTTTTTGCCATGATGTTAGTTCAATGTTAAATGTTAAATATTAGTCATGTTAGTCTAAAAGTACACTGTATGGAGAGGCCTGCCAGGTTCTTAGTGGAGCTGGTAGGTCACTCTCATCTTTTATTCTCTCTATTAATGTTTTATATGTATATTGGGGCAGGAGATGGTTCAATTACTTTCTTCCTGGCTGATTTAAACCAACTGTGTTCTTGGAATTCTTCGTTGTCTATATTATTTATCCAGTTTTGATATGTTTCTGTGTTAAGTTCAGTCACTTTTTTCCAAATATTTACAGCTTTGTTGTGTATATCTACATTGATTGCTAAGAGGTTTGCTCTCTTGTGTAGCTGTTCATTATTGATGTGGTCTGTATATTTTATGTTATATATAAATCTGAGGGCTATATTTTGTACTGTTTGTAACCTTTTAATGCACGTTTTACTAAGGGTGTTCAATGGGATGGGTGGGTAGTCCATAATTGATTTGACAAGGGCAATATAAATCTTTCTTTTGTTATTAATGCTAAGGTTCTTAAAGCGTTTTATTTTTGATAATCTTATTCTTGCCTGTCGTTCTTTATCTTTTAAGTATGTTATATATCCTCTTTTTGTTAGTTTTAATCCAAGCATCCTGCCTTCAGTGTCGTATGGGTATAGTTCCTGGTCGACTATTACTGGACTTGTTTTAATCTTGGCTATTGGTATTATCTTGAATTTGTTCTTATTTGTCCTGATTTTCCATTTTTTCTCAAAATCATTTATGTTTTTTATCGCTCTTACCGTGTAGAGTGCCATAAATTGGGTTGATTTTCCTGGGTGTGATACTATTTGAGTAATATCATCAACAAACATTACATATTCGCTAAAGGGGGTAGGTTGAGGTGTGTCTGAAGTATAAATTGTATATAGTGTTGGAGAAAGGCATCCTCCTTGAGGTACTCTACTCTCAAGATTAAACATAGTTCCCATAAAGTTTCCAATTTGAATTTGTGCTCTCCTATCATCTAAATAGTTACACAATATTCTTAGCAAGTATTCGTTAAGTCCCAGTTTTAATATTTTATATTTTAAGCCTAAATGCCAAACTTTATCAAAAGCCTTAGAAACATCCCTTAAAATTATATTGATCTGGTTACCCTTGCTTTTTTCTATTGCAATTATTTCCGTTATTATAGCTATTGCAGTTAGGGTATTTCTATTGGGCATAAATCCATGTTGTCTGTTGTTAGTTTTCCCATGTGTTAAAAAGGCTATAAGTCTTGAATTTAAAATTTTTTCCAATAGTTTCCCGGTAATTTCTAATAAAGATATTGGCCTGTAGTTTAATATTTCCTTATTGTCCTTACCCTCCTTAGGAATAAATATCATTTTAGCATATTTTAGTTTGTCTGGAAAGTAACCAGTTATTAAGCATGCGTTATAAATGTTTAATAGTGTTTTTAAAATGTTTTCAGGTAGATTCATGATCATATTTCGTGTAATACCTGTAAGCCCAGGGGCTTTTTCCTTAAACTTCCTCAGACAGTGCATCATTTCTCCCATGGTTATTATTTGATTATTAGGTAATAAGTTATAGTCTATATATTGCCTTGGGGTGATTCTATATATATGTCTTCCCATTTCGTCTTCTATCCTTTCTTCGTGTTCACTATCAAAATCTTCATTTTCCTCATCTGATATTTTAAAAACTTTTACCCATTCCCTTTTGAATGCTGACTCTTGTTCATTTTCCTCGTGCAGTTTTGTTCCATTTTGGTCTTTAATGTATGGTGTTTTTTGCTTGTTGTGCCCCATCATCTTGTATATGGAAGTCCAAAATGTTTTTGTGTCTTTAGTCATGTCAGCCGCCATTATAATATCATTCCATTTTTTATTGTTTGCTTCCTTACATGCGTCTCTTAATTTTATCTGTAGTGCTGTCTGTGTCGTATATAGCCATCTGTTACTGCCGTGTCTTTCCATATACCTGTTTATTTCATTGTAATGGGTCTGGATTAATTTAACTTCTTCTGGTAGTCTGTTGTTGGGTAATGTTCTAAAGTGTGAAGTAGGAGTGTGTTTGGTTATAGATGTTTTTATTGCTGAGTGCAGTCTGTCCATTTCTGAGTCTATGTCTTCTGTTGTTTTCCCTTGTAGGTTAATCGAGTGGTGATTACCTATGTCGTCTTTGAAGCTGTCCCAGTCTGTTTTACTCATTTTCAGTCTCTTTTTTATTGTTATCTGTATGGGGCTTGTTGACAGTGTTAGTATAATTGGCAGATGGTCACTGCCTGTAAGAGGTCCCTGTATTATATGGTAATTGAAAAAGGCTTTGTTGTTGGTAAAAATTTTGTCTGGTGTCGATTGTGTATTG